ATTCTCAGTGCTGTGCTTTAACCCGCTGCGCCACCAGGGAGGGCCTCATTGTTCATTTTTGTACAATATTTGCTTTCTCCTCTCATGTGTAGTCCCATAGAATTCCTACCACTAATTCACCCTTGCACCATTGCCATAGTTCCTCATCTTCTTCCCTCCCCTGTTTTGATCCTACTCCTCTCTCCTACTTCAGACTATCTCTGATTTATAGTTGTAAAAAAAAATAATAATTTTTTTTGTTATCATTTTTTTCACTGATCCCTTGTGTGGTTCACATATATTCCTCCTATGAGTGAAACTATTCAATATTTTTCTTTTGCCTTCTGACTTACTTCACTGAGCATATTTCCTTCTAGTTCCACCCTGTTCTGTTTCTGCAAATGGCATGAGTTTACCTTTTTTTGATTGCTGAATAGTATTCCATTATGTATATGTACCACATCTTCTTGGGCATTTGGGTTGTTTCCATATCTTACCTATTATAAATAGTGCTGCAGCAAACATAGGGGTGAAGCTATCCTTTCTGAATTAATGTTTTTGTGTTCTTTGGGTAGATTTCTAGGAGTGGAATTGCTGGGTCAGGTGATAACTCCATTTTTAGTAGTTTGAGGAACTTCCGTACAGCTTTCTATAGTGTGGTTGGACCAATTTGCATTCCCACCAGCAATGTAGGAGAGTATGTTTTTCTCTCTACCCTTGCCAACTATTGTTGTTGCTAGCTTTTTTAATATGTGCCATCTTCTCTGGTAAAAGGTGGTATTTCATTGTAGTTTTGAGTTGAATTTCCCTGATTATAAGGGATGCTGAACATCTTTGCATATATCCTTGCCATAATTGTTTCTTTGATGAGAGCCATCCTAGTAGATATGGTTACTACCCTATTTCAAAACTTGAGAAAAATCTGTTCAGCAGGCTTGGTAGTAGACAGAATAAAAGTCACTGATTAAAGGTGAGGATTTTCAAATATTTAGATTTGTCATGATTTTTAGCTTGAAAACATGGACAGGAAGGCCCTGATTTCATGAGGATTCATTACACTGTCCTAGTTACCTTTGAATAGTTTGAATTTCTATAGTTTTTAAATAACAAGCCTTTGAGGAACAACAAATGTTGGTGAGGATGTGGAGAAAAAGGAACTCTCCTGCACTGCTGGTGGGAATACAAACTAGTACAACCACTGTGGTAAACTGTTTGGAGGTTTCTCAAACTTCTAAACATGGAGCTTCCCCACAACCCAGCAGTCCCACTCCTAGGTAGCTACCCAAAAAACACAAAAAGATATCTGATTCAAAAAGATACCTGCATCCCCATGTTTATTGTTGCTTTATTCACAATTGGAAAGACATGGAAACAGCCCAAATACCCAAAAGTGGATGACTGGATTAAAAAGATGTGGTACATACACACAATGGAATATTATTCAGCAACCAAAAAAAGGAAGCACATGTCTTTTACAGCAACATGGATGGAACTGGAAAAGATCATGCTTAGTGAAATAAGCCAGAAAGAAAAGGAAAAATACTGGATGGTTTCTCTCATAGCAGGAGTATAACGGAACAGGCGAGAAAATAATGATAATGATGAACAGCTATATACCAGAGATATTTTGTG